GGATTTTCGTTGGTAAATTTAAAGAGGCACATCCCCCTGCCGAACGTAATGGCCTCGGTACGCCCCTGGATACATGCAGGGTTAATATTTTTCTGGCGATGGCAATGCAATGGTGGGGAAATCGTTGCATTGCCCTAGCTTGTGTTTCATGCTCTTCGACGGCAACGCAAAGCTTCGTGCAATCAAGGTTGACGATTGACACGTTTCTTGACCAGCCAATAAAAAGCGTTATAACGACGTTATTTAGTAATTTAGACTTTTATTGCGGGTGCCGAAATATTGCAGGTGTAGCAACCTTGTGCGACGGCAACGCAACACTCTTAGCCAACCACGCAGCAAAAATATTGCTCGTGTACATCCGAAGCTTAAGTGTTAACTGGTTCACACAGGTCGTAATTCATCGGCGATGAGTAAAAGCGTTTGTCTATGTTCTTCTTCACTGATATCAAACAATGGCATCGCCGATGTCGGCGACTTATGAGAATTAGGCTTTATATCTACAAAACGTGACAATCTGTATTTTGTCGTAAACAGAGCAACGGCGACGTCTATACCGGGGGATTTTAATTTTTAATTTTTGTTCATTTTCTAATTGTATTAATAACAATATACATAAAACGCGTTTTATTAACTGGTTTAAAAGGGCTAATTATAATATAACAATACTGCCGAGAAGATTACGTAAATTTTGCTATTTATTATTTTATTTATCTAGAACGGTTACCTAACCTTAATATAGTATTTTTTGTGACTTTTTAACCCTCTGACGTTTACCCTCGCCCCCGACATTTTCTCTCGACAACTGAGGAATTCAGAGCGGAATGAGTCTGTTTTGCCTTTGGCCGCTTGATGTAGACAGGGTTTAAAGATTAACGGAACCACTGGTTATTCACTCTGAAAACGTAAACATTTGAAAATGTTTATTGGCGCTTCGACTATATAGCACTGCAGGCGTAATAGGAATGATGCAATGATTACATAATCAGAACTAGAAGTTCAACACTTAATTAAATATTGTTAGTTCTTTAGAAGCTTTAGTTCTCTCGTTAAGCCTCCATGCACTAGCTCTTAATATCGCAAAGGATTAATATTTCAAAAAGTCAGGTCAAGAGATATCTTGAAAATGTGCTCTAATTTAATGTTCAAAACAGCCCACTATATAGCCCAATGAAATGCCATTGGAGAAATGCCATGATAGAAATGCAATTTCACAGACTCAACATTTCAAAATGTTTCCCGGGGAGCGTGCCCCCGGAGCCCCATAGAACTGTATAACTGTATAGTTTGAACAGTTAAGTCAGATCTAACAGTTTTCATTCTGAAAGTGGAGACTTTTGTGCAATCCGCTCGTATGCATGTTAATTAACCATATATAGCCACAATCTCAAATCATTAAACATTCATTAGTAAATTAGCCAACCATATTGCTTTATTTCGCTCACATGATAATACTGCATGCTTGTTGAATTTTACTCAGCCCTAGGACTGGATCAAAATTAATCAGTCATTGGACTGGATCAAAATTAATTTATTCCTATGAGATGTCATTTCAAATGCTCAAATCTGGAATGGACTAGGTTTCAAGTCCTCGCAAGTTGATCCAGTCCTCAGCTTCACTCGCGGACTTTATCAAATTATGCGGACTTCAAATCTTGTCCAGTCCGCATGTAGTCGGATCCGAAATATTATTTCAAAATATTATCTCATTGTTTAGGTCCCAAATATGAAGTCTTATTTTGTGGTCTCAACTTTATGCATTTTTGCGTTGTATTGTGAATTCTCAAATGCTGATGAAATCGGTAAGTTATATTAATATGCTAATATGCAGAAAATATACAGTGCTTTACTGTTTGTTGCAATGTTTCCCCAATTGGTTTGCCTGTTTTAGCATGACAGAAACACGTTAAGGTAACATATTATAGTCCATAGAATTGCACATAATTTTTCTCTTCTTGTTCTTCACATCAAGTGGTTTTCATCTGTAAAATCATGGGTTCGGTTCTCGCTATAAACTATAACTTCATGAGTATTGTTTCAAAATACAGCGCTTATGTAAAAAGAGTGAAGAGTCGCGGGTTTTCTCCAGGTGCTCTAGTTTCTTCTCACAGGGAAAGTTTACAGGGTGGGTTAGGATAAACATAGTTGAGAAAATAATATCATAATTGTTGTAAAGATAAAATAGTCTGGGCTAAGTATGTAGTTAGTTAAGCGTTTAATAATTGCATGTTATTAAACGCAGATTAACCCATCAAGTAGCAGTGGTAGAACCTAGCTTAACCCTTTAAGTGGCCATGCGCCCCGAGGTGCCAGAAAATGAAAACCAGGAGAATTTGATGAAAATCAGGAGAAAGTGATACTGTAATGTTCACAATTTTATTGAAAAACCTCACAGCTAAGCAAAACTAGACAGATCAGTGAACACAACGTCTTTTCATCTCAATATCTTCCATGTGTCCTGTCACATGACCAATGTGACTTGCCACATGACCAATGGTACAAATACAACAGTTCATAAAACATTGATTTCTTGTTTAAATTTTCTTTACTGAATTTTAGTTTTACAACTTTTGCTTAGATTTTCTTGCTCCCTTTATGTTTTAGAAGAATGCCCTGAGTTTAAACCTGTCGGATGTTTCAAGGATAGAAGCCGAAGCAAGAACCGTGCTCTGGGTCGTTTGTTGATTACTGACAGAGACCGCAGTGACAAAAAGCGCTATTCTGGCAAAGACATCGATTGGTTTAATTACGGAGTTTACATACACGAGTAAGTTCCTTAAATACAGACAAACCTCTCCCGTATTAGAGAGGTGTCCTTTTTGAGAGGCGTCTGCGTGTAATAGAGGGGTATCTGTATTAGAGAGACGTCTGAATGTATTAGAGAGATGACCGTATTACGGAGGTGTCCGTATTGGGGAGGTTTCTGTATAAGAGAGCTGTCCGTATTAGAGAGAGATCCGTATTAAAGAGGTGTCCGTATTAGAGACATGTCCGTATTAGAAATATATCTACATTGAAGAGATGTTCGTATATAAAAGGTATTCATATTAGAGACATGTTCGTATTGAAGAGGCGTATGCATGTATTAGAGAGGTGTCGGTGTTATTCGAGAGATATCCGTAATAGAAAGGTGTCCATATTAGAAACGTGTCCGTATTAGAGATATATCTACATTAGAGAGATGCTCGTATAAGAAAGGTAACCATATTAGAAAGATGTTCGTATTACAGAGGCGTCTGCATGTATTAGAGAGGTGTCCGTATTATAGAGATATCCGTATTAGAGAGATATCAGTATTAGAGAGGTTTCCATATGATTATCAGAGACGTGTCTGCATTAGAGAGGTCAGTTTGTATAAGAAAGGTGTCCATATTAGAAAGATGTTCGTATTAGAGAGGTGTCTGTATTAGAGAGGAGTCGTCCGTATTAGAGAGGTGCCCACATGTATTAGACAAATATTTGTATCAGAGAGGCGTCCGTGTTAAAGATTTGTTCGTATAAGAGAGATGTCCATGTTAGAAAGGCGTCTGTATTAGAGATGTTTCTATATTAGAGAAGTGTCTGTTTTACAAAGGTGTCCATAAGACCAGTTTCTACAGTATTATAAAATGTATAGTTCCCACACTTTCATTTCATCTGGCAACATGTTCTTGAATTTCAATACAGTTTGGCTTGTCGTTGTGCGAAATTCGCAAAAGAAAAAGGTTTCAGTCATTTTGGTCTGCAGTTTTATGGAGAATGTTGGAGCGGTCCGACTGCAGGGATTACTTACCTAAAGTATGGAGAGAGTGCTCAATGTGCTAATGAATATTTTGGTGCTTGTGAGGACCCGGATGAAGGGGCATGCATCGGACGGGCAAACGCTAACTTTGTGTATCAATTGAGTGGTTAGTATACTTCGTCTTTATATTTATATTTATATATATATATATATATATATATATATATATATATATATATATATATATATATATATATATATATATATATATATATATATATATATATAAAAAGGCGGATTGAAGCTAGTACCAGTCTTTGAACCTATTTTGTATTTATTTTGCGCGATTTCGAAACTGATTAACTTCAATGTTCTTGAGAAAGTTTTTTTGTGTACTTTTCAACCATAGAACTTATTTTTCTGAGAGCTACGTTGGAATTTTAAATTTTCTATCAGTCATACAAATTTATATTCAAATATCAGAAAATTAATTTAAAGTTTAATAATATAAAAGAATACATATAGTTTGTCATGATAAACACCCCTTATATATGTTGTGATATTATATATAAAATATAGTGGGGCGTGTTGTACATTTTGTGCAGAAAGCACCATATTGACAAGATCTGATGTGTAGACTTTGACACAAGTAATCAGATGTGGAGGCATCTGTACATGTGAAATTAACGCTAATAACCAAAAAAGGTGGAATTCCTGACATTTTAATTTATTATAAATTTCTATTACTGATAGAAATTCTAAAATTCTAAGTTAGCTCACAGAAAAAATAAGTTGTATGGTTGAAATGTATACAAAAAACTGTCTATAAAACATTAAAGCGGTTTTTTTTGCAAATATTTCCTGAGTTGCAACCTGTTAAAAAGGGGAATTGAAGCTAGTGCCAGTCTTTGAACCTATTTTGTATTTATTTTGTGCGATTTCGAAACTGATTAACTTCAATGTTCTTAAGAGAGTTTTTTTGTGTACTTTTCAACCATAGAACTTATTTTTCTGAGAGCTACGTTGGAATTTTAAAATTTCTATCAGTCATACAAATTTATATTCAAATATCAGAAATTTAAAGCAGTGTTTTATCAGATATAAAGATACGAGGCGATACGATATAATCCCCGGGATTATATACCGCTACTTCAATTAGGGCTGTCCACAAATAAAGCGGAAAAGTCGAATACGAGCGCTGGGAATCGCTATGAAAATTCATTAATTTTTTAGCGGTTCCCAGCAGTCTTTCGCGCTCGCATTCGACTTTTCTGCTTTTCTGCTTTTCTCGTGAACAACCTTAAATTGAAATAGCTGTATATCATCCCGGCGCACTTCCATGAGTGGTAATTTAACTATCAATATGACCTTTAACAAGAGCTTCATTAAATTTTTTACAGTCACACCCGCAAGTGGCAGTGGTGATTCTTCTGTACTAGAATAAGAAGACGTTGCACATTATACGGCACATTACTCATTAGAGAAAACTACTAAATTCCCTTCAAACCAAGTAATGTATCTAATTCAACTAAATTGTCCTGTTGCACATACAAGTAAGGAATGGTTTTCCGCTATGCGTATACCATAGACACGGATATAATGTAATTTAATAATGTTTTATGTAATTTAATAATCTTTTGAATTCTCTTTTGAGATTTTAATTAAAATATATTTTCGCCGTTAGGCGTTACTGTTCGTTTTCGTTCGAGTTGTAAATATTTAGTCGTCGTTTAGTTCAGTTCTCGCAGAATAAAAATAATTTTAGTTTGTTTAAATTCAGTTAAAGTTTAGTTCCAGTATTTATCTCTAAAATCAGTTTGGTTTTAGTGGACTAAATTATTTTGGCATGACTAAAATAACACCAGTTATAGCTAGTTATAGTTTATCCTAATTAGTAGCAAGGCTGTATGCTAATGCAAATGTCATGATATACAGTAGTGCAACCTCGCAAGCCAGGGTCTTTTACTTCCGAGCGCAGGTTAAAGACCCTGGTTTGCGAGGTTGGATATAGTCCTGACATCCATATTTCAAATCCCGGGACCCGGGTGACATGATCAAATCGCCATGTGATATTTTTTACGTCAAATACGATGACGTAAGGCGCCACATTCGATAATAAATTTCATGTTCACGTGGCACAAATTTAGCCTTAAGATTGGGCACTTTGAATTTAAGGTGTAATATTATCATAACAAATAATATTTGTTTTGAAGAGGCATATAGTTTGAAATTAGCTTAACTAGCCAATTTTTCCGGATTTTCACCAATTCCAAAAACCCATTTCAACACAGTTGATAGACTCTGATTCCAATTCAAACAGCTACATGTATCTCGCTCAATATATTGCATGTAAATTCAAGCGTTATATATCAAACTCTAAATCCTTTCTGAATGTAATGATCGTTATTTGCTTGCGATAGCTTTTATAGCTTTTACGTTACATGAAATCAGACGTGTCCAGTTTTATTTAGTTTGGGACACCCGGTAGAAGATCCTTCAACATTGAACCTATGGGGTGAGACTCCCATAAATAAGCTCGCGAGCTTATACAAATCAATTAAATCGTTTCAGCTAATTGCATGCTATTCAAAACGCAGAAATGCATGGACTATAGGGGCGTTCTAAGTCGTGTTTACACTACAAGCCCTGGTCTAGCCTTGCCTGGCCAAGGCCAGTCCAAGGTAAATGTGACGCGTTTACAACATTACACAATTTTTTAGAGACTGGTCTACTATGACCTAGAATTTTGTAATTAATTTTGTGTATTTTTATGTGTTGTGACGTTGTCCGCTGGTTGTCCGCTAATCTCTCACTGTGGACACACGTTGCCATGAAAATAAGGCCCAGGCCAGGGCCGAAAGTGTTTACATTTCCACAAGCCTAGGCCACCGGTTGTAGTGGGCCCAGATTTACTGGCCTAGGTCAGGCCAAGGCTAGGCCAAAGTCTGTTTACACTGTCAAAATGTAGCCGGCCAAGGCTGGTAGTGTAAACAGACCTTATGATTTTAGGATGGCAAGAATTGAGTAATTACAATGTATGAATAATTTAGACATTGTCCCGCTCTTTTTACAACGCTAAATCACTGATTTTCACGTCTTGATACAACGGCTGCATTCCAAGCCACAACAAGTGCAACTTCAAACTGGGTTTAGCAATACTCTTCCCAACCATAACCCCAATGTCTTCAACTTCTAAAACTGTATTGAATTCATACGATTGATAATATATGACGAACTACCTTTACTACCATTTATTTGAAGGAGTTTGTTTTGGCCGTTGCCGTCCCGTTACCGTTCTAAAATCGTAAGGTCTCTATTAGGTGGGATGCGCACACCCACGGTAATCCACCCCTGCATGAGTTCCATCGCTCAATCAACTTCCAAAACCGAGAACCCCACATTCAAAATATTTTATTTCCCAGATCCAAGTTATGAATTCTTATTTTGTGCTCGCAACTTTATGCATTTTCGCATTGTATTGCTATTTTTTCATTCTGGAGGACCGTACCCTGTTCCAAACGAAAAGTCGGTGGAGGATCCGGTTCCAAAGGACAAGCGGTCAGTAAGGTTTATGGTAATGGACTTTACTGTTTGTTGCACGTTTGTGCCTTGGCTTGCACACACTTGAAGGTTACGTCTAGTGTGTGAAATTAAATTTTTTTGTCATTATCCCACTGGGATACAAGCATGGGCGGACCGGAAGGAAAAAATTAGGGGGGCGGAAGAAATTTGCCCGACTTTTTCGGATTTTTCCGGAACAATTAATTTTGGCGATCTCAAGCAAGTTAGGGGTTCAAAAAGTTTTCGGACATAACAAAATTTTTCGGAACATCAAACTAATTTTCCCAAACATCACAAAATTGACATAATTTCTCGCAAAATTGACAGAATTTGTCCCATTTATTTTTATAATAACCCAATATTGCCCATCTGTGAAGCGAATATTGCCCAACTGGCCTTGTTTGCCCAACAAAATGGGGTTATTATTAAGAGAGATTTTATTGCTTTGACTACTTTTTGCCCGACTTTTGCCCGACTTTTGTTGAACATTTGCCCGACTTTTCGACTTTGTAATCTTTTTGAGGGGCAGCTGCCACTCCTGCCCCCCCCCCCGTCCCGTACGCCTATGGATACAAGGATTCAAAGTTCTCCTATCCCATCTGAAAACCAGGGTTGTTTACCATTTACATGGAAATTCCGGTGATTCCATACGGAAAGTAAATGGAACAAGCATATTTCGACGGCCCAACCGGAACTTTTCCGGAATAAATGGTTTGTTTGAAAAGGTTGTCCTCTCTTACCGATTGGAAAGTTTCAACCGGTAAATGTTGTTCCATTTACATTTTTAATTTTTTTTTCACCAGTTTCAGGCTCTTCGCGATTTAACAATTGAAATTATTAAATGGAAAGCGAATAATCCGAATGGGATTTTCTATCCGAAATTTTGCTTACCATTAGCACAACTTCAAACCGGATGGGTTTTACATGTAAATGGTAAACAATCCAGTATCCCACTTCTGGATACTAATCCCGGCATCTGTGAACAATTACAGAAGTATACAGTATATGTCTCTCGTTGTGTATAAGAACAAGAGACTCGACAGCTAAACAACTAAACCACCAAGTTAGGAATTTTCAAGAAGGCAGACCTTTATTTACTAAAAGCTGTAGGGAGGTCCCTGGAGACATTTAGCTTTATCCTACATTTTGAATTTTTTACCGCTTATGTGTGTTTTTATGAGCACGAGCACAATATACTGCAGGGCCTTTTTTAAGGATTTTCCCGTGGGGGGGGGGCATTTTTTGAAAAGGGACCTTTCTGTGAGATAATATATTACAGGGAGATAGCAATGGCTGAAGGCCACGTGTGCGCCGAATATACCATTCACGCATGAATGAGGGGGGGGGGGGTACTCCCCCAGAAAATTTTTTGAAATTTGAAGCACAGAAATGCCATTTCCTGCATTCTGAGCATCCAAATGCGCTCCAAAATGTATACGAACTATACTTGTATTTGAAATAAAAGAAGGAAAAAACCCACAAAAAGTTTAAAAAAATATTAACCATAATTTATCATTACTTATTAGAGGAGGAAACCAATGGTCACGTGTGTGGGGGTGTACTCCCCCAGAAAATTTTTTAAATTTGAAACACGGAAATGCCATCTCCTGCATTCTGAGCATCCAAATTTGCTCTAAATTAAATTTATGCAAACTATACTTGTATTTGAAATAAAAGAAGGAAAAAATGCACAAAAAGTAAAAAAGAATATTAACCGTAATTTATCATTATACTTATTAGAGGGGGATACCAATGGCCGAAGGCCACGTGTGTGGGGGCATAATCTCCAGAAAATTTTTCAAATTTGAAACCTGGAAATGCTCTTTCCTGCATTCTGAGCAACCAAAAAATAAAAAATTATTAACAATAATCAATAATTTATCATTACTTATTAATAATTTATCATTACTTAAATTAAGTTACTTTCCGTTTATTTATTTGTTATTCTTCGCTGTTTTGCTGGTATAAATTTAGGAAAAAGGGACTTTTCCTGGGGGGGTGGCAAAATGTGATTTCGTGGGGGGGGGGCACAAGGGGGGACTGGGGGGGGCAAATGCCCCCCCAGCTTGTATGTTAAAAAAGGCCCTGATATACTGGCACAATACACCTTTTCGAGGTTTGCGAAGCCATCTTGCCAAGTGGGAAGAGGCTGTTTTAAGAATTCATCTGTGGGCATCTTATGAAACATGATAAATCTAACAAAAAATGCCCAAAATAGAAATAACAATTTTCGAAACTCAAACTATAATAAATCAACCCACGCAGGGCCGTGACGAATGGTATGTGATGGAGGAGGGGGGATTCAAAAATTTGGGCTTCCTTCCTTTCGCCCACCTCCCTCATTTTTGCAACATTTCCGCGCTGTCTTCATTAAATGTGGTATATCTGCAAAGAAACAGATGAAGCGTGAATGGTGCAAAAAGATTTATTGTCTTATATACAACACCACACTTCCGATCAACAACCAACTTAACATGGATTTTTTCCGGTACCCCTCTAGGTGATAGCCTGTTTTCCTCATAGGTATTAGATATTCCCTATCCCCTACAAAAGAAACGCAATAATCCCTTACCATAGGGAATCCCCGTACAGGTGGCAGCCTTACCGGTTTCGGCCGTTGGGATCCCGTCAATTAACCAAATATGATGAGATGTGGAGATGACGGGATATGTTCGCCAATGACTGCGTCCCATCGAAATGAATATATACTATTGTAATGCTACCTCCAACCAGAAATTTGAAGCCAAACTTGAAGGCCAGTCCCAGTTTTTTCACCCATGCGAAGAGCGCTCAATCGGGATATAAACACTCGGGTCTTGACCTGAAAAAGACGAAAAAGATAGGCTGTTTATCTGAAGATTAGCGTTCCACTTCTATTCATTTCAATACTGCATCCTGATAGTGATGGAATTGATAGCGCTGCGCCTCGTCAGTGCGTTTTAAAATTATTTTTGCAGTTTGAAAATTTCACTGATAACGCTTCAAACGCTGTCCCGGGCAAAAATATTAGAACGCTTTACCTCATTTAAATAGACAAAAATTATTCAGTTAAATTTACATTTTAAAATTAGAAATATTAAAAAACGGTTTAACCAATTAGCCTTTCTCGCGATGACGAATATCCGCCATTTTTGGGTAGCATCAAATTTTCATTTATAACCAGTGCAGACAATTAAAACAATGTGAAAAGCAATTTTTCAAAATAAACTAAGGGACCGGTCATTATTTATGGCAGGGGTGGGGGCCGAAGAGAAAGTATAATGAAGCCGGAAAAAATCATTACCCCACCTTTTTCGAAACAAAATTTCTAGCTACCCCACCGGTGGAATGCCAGAAATTTTTTTTAC